AAAAAAAAAAAAAAAATCTAATTTAATTTATTGTAAATTGATGGAATTTCGCAAAACTGTTCGTGAAAGCAAGTAAAGGGCATCTTGCGTCCCTAGATGGGGTCTCTGTCCTTAACAACGTAGGTCGAGGACCTTCAACGACTCGTGCAGCCTTCTATCGTTCGCCCCCTCCTTCCCCTTTCTGTGTTACCTCTCCCCCTTTCTCGCTTATACTTTTTGCAACTGCCTGCCTGATCGACTGTTACTGGACTAAACGCCGACGCGAGCGATCGAGGACAAATTCAAGCTCGTTTTCTCAATCACATTTGATAATCGCGAAAATTCCGACTTATTACATCAATTCTAATCGTTTTTCTATAAGTAGGGCAATTAATTCTAATTTAATTAAATACAGGAAATATTTGAACATGAATGTATCAGATATATTCGTACAAAACTTGATCAATATTAAAATCTTTTGCTATTTGAATTAATAAATCGAATATGATTTATAAAACAAATAATGCAGAGGTGAGAAAACCAATATAAGCATTGCGATGCATATTGTTGATCGTGCATTATTGAAACTGTCATCGTATTATATAGTTACAAAGAGTCTCAGCAATTCAAATAGTGATGTAAATTGCGACGTGCAATCGGATTTTATATGTATTAATGGGTCAGTGGCATCGCGCAAACCTTGCTCGAGCATTGCACTTTTGTAGCTCGTCTTACCTCCTTCGCTCGTATTGTCACTCCGTTCTCGGCATTTTGTCCTTTCTCTTCATCCTTTTTCTGTATTTTTCTCTTTCTTTTTCCATTTCTGTATCAAAGACTATTACTTGCTTTGATTCAAATTTTAATATTTGTGGCAATGTTAACAATAACAATATTAACAATGACATACACATCTTATGATACTTTTTTTAATATTTTGTAATATCGGTTTTAAATTTAAAAAGTTACGAATTATATAAAGCCTACTAGCTTGTGTTAAAAGTAATATTGTAGTTAGATTATAGTAATTATAATAGATAATTGCGTAAAAAGCTGTTACATATATTTATACAGCTACTGTGCTCGTAAATTACGCTGGTCGTAAATCAATCCTAAGAATGGTCTAATGATCCGAGGCGTGAATAGTATTATTGGTTTACGGTCGTCTAATTCGCTACGGAGGATGGATACTGACCTCGATTCATTATGAAATGTCCGCTCGAATTTACAGACCTATAAAAAAATATGATCTTGTTGCTTTTGATAATATCGCGCAATGAGTATTATATGAAAACGGATTTCTGTAGAAAAGCGAAGATCTTCTATTCTTATAATACAATACTTATATCTGTCTTTGTAATATAAATTTAATATGTATATAATTTAATTGTATTATCAACTACATTTTTTGAACGATTAAAAATATCGAGATTTTTTTTAAACTTTTATAAAAAAAAATAGTACGTTGATCTAGTTATTAGTTTGAAGGAGTAAGATCGATAAAAAAATCCCCTCGAGCGTAGAATATATCGAATTTCGCGCGATCAATAAAAGTGGGAATAGAGATATGAGCTCAGAACGTTTCGATGACGGCCTGTATTATTCTCTAAAATAGACCTATATCCCTAACCCCTTTCGTATTTCCTCTTTTCCGGAAAAGAAAAAGAACTGAAAGCTCTATGAACGTTTCATTGGTTTTATCCGAAAAGGATGTGCGAGTACTTCGATGTAAGATCCAGCTGCCGAAGATTCAGGTAAACTTTTGTACCCTTTCAAACATTTTATTTCGTAAATTCAGAACCCTTTTCACGTTGATCATCGTGATCCCGCACAAACACATTTTATGCTTCGTATTGCTCATTGAATTCCAGAGTTGCGTACAATGAATTAGAGGTCTGTTGCTCCAGATTTATTAAGTAAATAGAATGGAATTACGTTTCTCT